ATTTTCAGTTAGAAAGCTCTCTTTAAGAACCAAAAGTAGACACATGTTTACAGACAATGAAGAGTCTGAGTTTATTTCAGAATTGTCTTCTCCAAGGCTCTAACACAGAAGGAAAAGGGGGCATCCAAATTCCAAATTCCCCTGGTCCAAATCACAGGACAGATTTGTGATTGGCTTCTGGCAGAGAGAATTTGATGAATTCCTAGCTCCTTTCCTTTGATTTAAGCCTTCTGGAAGAAAGTCTGCCCTAACCAGGCCTTGTCTTAACACTCATTCAGTTTTTAACCCTTTATCCCCAACCCTATTCTCAGTCACTCGGAAGCATGAAACCTATTGAGTTTCCCCACTTCCTTAGTTCGTGAGACATGGCATTCTGTTTTCTCCTTTTACTAATAAAGATGATAGTTACCATCTATTAATCAGCTGCATAGTTTAGTGAGAGCTTTATATGGATTATCTCATTTCATCCTCTTAACTCACCAAAAGAGTAGACCCTTTTGTAATCTGCATTTTACAAAAGACACTACATCAAAAACTAATGATGTACTGTATGGTGACTAACATAACATAATAAAATAAAATTTAAAAAATCTATCCCAGATTCTACTCCAAACACACACACACACATACACACACCACCAAACCAAACAAAAATAGATAAACTGGGGTTTGGAGAGGTTACATAAGGTTTCCTACCTTCTCTAATTTTTTCCATAAAAATTCATGGTTTCCTCTGTTTCCTTAGTTTTATTTAATTATTTTCAAGTTCTTGCCTCTTCTCTGATTTTACCTATTCTCAAAAGCTTAAGTAGTAATCATGGGCAAATAATTTCTAAATTCATATTTCTAATCCTCCAAATGCCTAATAACTACTAAGAATGCCAGCCAAGCTCAGATTTCCAAAAGTTTCATATCATTAAATCAGCTAGAATAGTGTTTTTTGTTTTTGTTTCTCCTTTGGTAGACAGTATGCATTCCCTCACCTTTAGGCAAAATAGCTTCAGCTTTAAGTAAACTAATTCTGTCTCTGCTGCTTATAGTCTGGCAGGATGTCAGTCAAGGTAGCCAGCCCTGTTGCAGCTAGATGTTTGCTGCAAGACCCTGATTCGTTTATTTTGATCTGATTGACACATAGATTAGAAATAGTAGGAGCTGATTCCTTCCAAATACTTTATCTGAAAGAGATAGTCTAGCAAGACCTACAGACCCCTTGAGCTGCACTAGCCGGTCTTTTCTTAGCCTCCTCTTTCTGTCTCCCCTCTGAGTCTGCAGACTCATCTGTATTCTTCCAATTAATCTTTTTATTCTTATGCCAGCCAGAGTGTTTATGTTCCTTGCAAACAAATGCACATACACGTACATGCACACATAACTAATATCCTCAACTGTTGTTTATTTAATTGCTACCATGCAAGAGGCACTCTGTTAGACATAGGGGTATAAAAATGAATACTTTAGAGTACCATGAATAAGCAACTGACATTTTAGTGAGGAGATAGATATAAATAAAAGATATCATTATAATACAATGTGTTGGTGCCAGACACTTGTTAATTTTAGCCATTCTGACTGGTGTGAGGTGGTATCTCATTGAGATTTTGATTTGGAGTTACCTGATGCCGAGCAATGTTGAGCACTTTTTCTTGTGTCTGTTGGCCATTTGGATGTCTTCTTTGGAAAAATGTGTTCATGTCTTCTGCCCATTTCTTGATTGGATTATTTGTTCTTTGGATGCTGAGTTTGATAAGTTCTCTATAGATTTTGGATACTAGCCCTTTATTTGATATGTCATTTGCAAATATCTTCTCCCATTCTGTTGGTTGTCTTTTGGTTTTGTTGACAGTTTCTTTTGCTATGCAAAAGCTTTTTAATGATGAGGTCCCACTAGTTCATTTTTGCCCTTGCTTCCCTTGCCTTTGGCGATGTTTCTAGGAAGAGGTTGCTGCGGCTGAGGACGAAGACGTTGCTGCCTGTGTTCTCCTCAAGGATTTTGATGGATTCCTGTCTCACATTTAGGTCTTTCAACCATTTTGAGTCTATTTTTGTGTGTGGTGTAAGGAAATGGTCCAGTTTCATTCTTCTGCATGTGGCTGTCCA